CGCCCGCCCGCCGTGAGCCCCGCGGTCCCGCCCTGCTGCGGGCGCTCGGCACCGTGAACGCGCTGGTTTCGGCCTCCAGGGCCGCGGAGAACGGTCCGGACGCTCCCGCGGACGGCCTGGCAAACCGAGCCGCTGCCCGGAAAAACTACAAGAAAACCCCAGTGCCTTCAGCGGCTGCGCAAGGCGGAGGAGATTGAGGGGCTCCCGTGTCCCCAGAAGGGGGCAAATTGGCTGATGTACGGTCCTCCTACAGACTCCCCAGATGCCGCCAATGATGCTCCATTATTTAAAGGGTGGGCGGCAGAGGCTGCGTAGATGGCTTTGCGCTATGGGTGATCGCCACCGGGGACTGAGGCTGCGCTCGCTGTAGAGCCGCTTTTGGCCTTGAAGCTGGGGGAGAATCTGGACCAGAGTGTTACTGCTGTGGAGGAGCTGGCATAACCGAGGGATCTGCAGCCCGGAGGCAAATGGTTGCACTTTCTTTTTCTTTCAAGTCCTAGGGGGCAGGCAGGACCTCCATGCACTAGAATAGTGTGAACTCTGCACTGTGTAACAGACTTTAGGGACGTAGGGGAGCTGAGACAGCGCATGAACAGGACATCAGTCTGCTAGCCAACTCCACGGTAGTGCCATGTTGCCAGTATCCCTTGGACTCAGCCCCGGACAGTTATAAGAAGGACACAGCCCTTCACTTAGCCCTCCCGACAGTCGTCAACACCGGCTTCTCTCTAGAAAATGTTCCTCAGGGTAATAATTCCCCAGAGTGCCACCAGGCATAGCACTTGCTGTCTGTCACCCAAACCAACCGACTCAGTGCCTTCTGCTGGAGCTGCTTTTTCTTGAGGACTGGCTTGGGATCACCACCAGGGTCATCGTTTTAATGTGGTACAGTAACCCTCTTCATTGGTCACCCAGCTTGTGTTTAAAATAAAATGTAATTTCTGGTATGGGTGGCATTTCTGAGATGCACTGATTTCACCCTTCCCTTTGACCGGAGGTTCAAAATAACATGTGGGTGGGTGTCAGAGTTGGGTATCCACGTGGGTCTCAGTTTTGAAAGAAGTTTCTACGATTGAGATGGACAAGAAGGCAGTCACTCAGGAGCCTCTTGGTTGTGTGGACAGGAACACTGAGGCTGAACTGAGGTTGGGGCAGGCTTCTCTCCCCACCATCCCCTTGAGCACTAGGCACACACCTCTTCTCAGCTACATTAGGCCAAGGTCAGTCTGCATCATTTATTGTGGAAGCAGGAGTCACCCACCCGTGGGTCTAGGGGCCCTGCCAGAGCCTCAGGCTGACTCCCAAGCCCAAAAGAGCCAGGTGCAAACAGGGCAGAGTAGAAACTGATGACCGGAGGGATGCTCCAGGAGAGGCTAATACCCTGCGCCCTCCAAGAGGTTGCTGGGGGCGGAGATTATCCACGAGCGGTCTGGGGTGCAAGCCCGGTGGCCCAGTCTGGGGTATGGTCTGGAACTGTGCTACCTGAGGACGGGCAAAGATGGGTCAAGACGGGACGGGGCAGGCAGAGAGGGCAGGGGTGGCAACCGAGGCTGTGGAAGGAGCCAGGCATTGGGTAGGGATGGTGGCTCCCACCTGCGCGCGCCCAATGGGTACGGTGTTTTCAAAGACTGTCCAGAGCACAGCCGGCTCGCAGCCCGGCGTGGTTAGAGACCCGGAGTATCGGTAGTAGCGTAAGAGCCCCACAGCACTTGGCAGCAGTGAGGCCAGTGGAAAGGTGGACGTCAGGTTCACAGAGACCCCTGGACGGTGGGAGAGAAGTTGGAACTCACCTCCCCTGCTCTTGCTCCCTACCCACATCCCTTCCAGCCTAGACGGGACCCTGCAGCTCCTTACCAGGTAAAGATAAGTTTTTTAGGGCAGACACAATGGCAGAGAAATTGGTATTGTCCCTGTCCTCCTCCTGGAGAGAATTCCAGTGAGAAGGGCTTTGAGGTTCTGTGTGTGTTTGCTTCCAAAGGTGGGGAGGGCCCAGGTGGAAGGTCTGGGAGATCTGGGGGTGGAGTGAGGAGGGTCACCCCCCACGATGTCCACCAACACTCCTTTCCATTGGCTCCCCCACCTCTTGAAAATCCCCTAAGTCCCATGATCCCCCCAGACTCCAAACAGACCCCTGTTCTCCACACAACTCCACGACCCTCATCGGGAAGCATGCATGGAGTCACACAGTCCCTTCCTCACCACCAACAGTACGGCCAGCACCGCCAGCCCATCTGGGTGCCTTTGTGCCTCCCTCAGGTCCCGGTACTTTGTGTTCATGTGGACCATGTGCATCTAGGGAATAGAGCACACAGATGGTGTCCAGCTGCCGCCTGCTCCCTCTGCCCGTCTTCTCTGGTCCACCCTGAACCCACCTCCATAGAGCCATGCTTCTGGTCCAGGCTGTGCTCCGAGCCTTTGTGCCCTGGGCTGCCCCAGTGGAAGTGCAGCTGCAGGAGGCGGTACCCTGGTGATGGCAGCCCAGCCCCTCGGATCCCTGGGTAGCTCTGCTGACCGGAACTTACTTGCAGTAGCACTGAAGATGGGGGAGCATATGAGAGCCCATTGCCCCCCCAGCACATCCCCCCGCCCAGCACACCCCCCTGCTGTGGGAATCAAACTGGCCCCAGCAGTGCGGCTGGGGGCCTTGATCTCTCTCCAGCATCTTGACATCTAGCTGTGAACTGATTGGCCTCGGGCATGGCTAACTTCATTTACAGGGAGCCTCCTCCGCTTGTTTCCCGAGGACTTGGATTCCTGTGTGTGTGTCCCGTTCTCATAGTTTCTTAGTCCACTTGTGTATGTGTGGGTGGGGATGGGAGCAGTGAGCTCTTTGGGGAAGTTGCTTCCTCAGCTTTGTGTGTCCTGATCCCTGTGTATGGATGAGCTTCCTGTAAGCTGTGTGGACTTCTTGCCTCTGTGTATTGGTCTTGACCTTATGGTGCTGACCTGTATGGCCATTGTTCTCCAGGGTCCAAGGGTCTAGAGGTGCTGTATCATAGCCTTGAAAGATGAAGGGCTCAAGAGTGTAGTCCCGTTGGACCAAACGAAGGTCGATGTTGATGGGGGACTGGGCTGGGCCCCCACAAGCAGGTGCTAGCTCCTTCCAGTGGGTAGGGCCTGAGGAAACAAGGGCTGGAGTCTGCAGCAGGGTCGAGGGGCTGTCTGGGAGTGCACTGAGGGTAGATCCCATAACCCAAACACTGCTGGCTGAGGATTGGCTCACCTCCATCCTCCCGCCACACCTGGTCACAATTGCTCTCTAGACCCATCTGACTTAGCCACCAAGTCTGCAGGCAGACTGCCCCATAGACAGGTTAGATGGATCTGAGACATGGCTGCATACTCATGCTGGGGACCACCCCTGGCCACACCCACAGGCTCACAGACCCTGACCATGGATGACAGCGGACACACGTGATCACAGCATGCCTGCTGCCTGGTGCCCAGTCCTTTAGAGCACAGAGGCTGGCAGAGACCAGACAGATCCACACAGCCTGTTACAACTGTCCTCACCGCACTCTGGGTCTTGGGAGTCGTAGCACCAGGCACCTACAGACAGGAGGCAGGGACTGAGCTGAGAACCACCACATGCCCTTTAGAGTTTCATCCTGGCCTCCGTCCAGGACCGGGGCCAGGCCAGCCAGGAGAGGTTGTTCCTGACCCCGCATCTCCTCCCAAAGTCGCCCCACCACTAGTGGGTGAGCGGTGTCGGGCAGATCTAAGATCACACAGGCAGAGCCTTGGTGCTTACCCGTGGCGTCCACCTGGGCCACTGGCTGCATGGCGAGGAAGCGGAGCAGAAAGCCCAGGGCCCACATGATGCAGCAGTGGTTGTGACTCTGGAGAGCTGCAAACTGGATAAGAAACGTGTGGCCAGGCTACTCGGAGGGCTACTCACTCATTGGCTGGTGAACAGGAGGTGTGGATAAGTATCCTGTGGACATGCTGGGGCGGGGCCACAGAGGGCCAGAGAGGGTGGGGCTCAGGTAGGGCCACTAGGAAGAGGTGGGCTGGAGCTGGCCCAGGGCTGCTGCAGCCAGAGTAATGGTTAGCATTAATTCTGAAGGGTGCCCGATTATTCTCACAGCAGAGGGAATGGGGGACAGGGACCTGGGGGGACATGCCAAAGCCACCATCAAAGAAATTAGTTCAAGAGGTGAGGGCACTTGGGATCCTAGTGACCAAGACTTAGGAGGCTGAGGAGGGGAGGTGTGGATGTTTCTTGCCTTGCTACAAACTTGAGACTCCGACCCATCCCAAGTCCAGGTCCACAGCTGCCTTCCTACTGATGCACCTGGCTGAGGACTACACTACTAACAGGTCCTGGAAGAAGCTGCAGCCTTTCTGTGGTAGGGACATTGCACTAGCTCAAGCCCCTTTGCCCAAGTCCAGGCAGTCAGAATGAAGTGTCTGTAACTCTTTGGCTTCCCTGTGTGTCATTGATCACTTGACAGTTCTGTACTTGGCCACCACGTGTCTGCAGGTGTGAGTAGATTTGGCCTAACCATGACTACCAGGGAGCGGGCTGGAAGCCTGTCCCCCGGGCATTCCAGTGCTCGGCATCTCTTTGCCATAGCCCAAGGGAGCACAGTGGAAAAGCACTTGCTTAGCATGTGTCCCTGGATTCACCCTCAGCAATTGCTGGAGGAAATGGTGACCCAGAGACCCCTGCTTCAGACGTGTTGGGGATCCGAACTCCCAATCCCTCTCAAAGGCCTGGGCAGTTCTTTCCTGACCCTGACCTGTCAGCCTGTGACAGCCTGTTCTGTCACAGAACACAGCTAGCTCCACAACGACCTTGATCCTAGCTTTACCCTCGTTCCCGAGTTTTGACCACCGAGGGCTCCTGCATGCATGTGGTGCGCACACACAACTATAAAAACTAAAATACTGTGCTAGGCATGGTAGTGCACACCTTTAATCCCAGCACTCAGGATGCAGAGGAAGGTGGATCTCTGAGTTTAAGGTCAGCCTGGTCTACAATAGTGAGTTCCAGGACAGCCAAGGCTATGCATAGTCTAAAAAAACCAACAAAATTAATGTTTTAAAAGGAAGGTAAGCGTAAGGATTCCTTCCAGAAATTACTATCAAGAACCCCGTTGTCCCACAGAAGCGATGGCAGTCAACACAGTATCTGGAGGCCGCCACGTTTCCTCTGCTCCTCACCCCAGTGCACCCCCACCCCCTTTTCAGGAGGGAGCCCAGCCCAAGTCAACAGGCCCTGCTAGTCTGTAGCACCTTGGGACTTCTGGAAAGGCAAGACCACCCAATATTTTGTTGTTGTTGTTGTTGTTATTGTTGGTTGAGACAGGGTTTCTCTGTGTTGTTTTGGTGCCTGTCCTGGAACTCACTCTGTAGACCAGGCTGGCCATGAACTCACAGAGACCCTCCTGCCTCTGCCTCCCGAGTACTGGGATTAGAGGCGTGCACCACCACTGCCTGGCTCCCCCAATAATTTTATAGATGAGAATCTCCCCAGAGGATGCAAACTTCTCCAGCCTCTGTAGGGAGGCAGGGTCCAGCCCACCCTGGGTGTAGGTAGCCAGCCCCACCCACCCTCTGAGAACCTAGAGCTCTGCTGGAAGGGGCGCTTACTCGACCTGAATGTCTAGAGACTAACTAACTGCATGCCCTTCCCTGCTCGGCCTATCTCACACTGGTCACTAGTAACTAGAGGATACAGCAGCCTGCCTGTCACTCTAGCCACACATCAGAGGGAGCACAGGGTGGCCTGTCATGTACCCTGCACAGACTCCAAGCCTAGCTGTCTGGTCCTCAACTAAAGGGTGTCAGAAGCCAGCTGGATGCCTGCAAGGACTGAAACCTTAGGAGAGCCCTGGCTATAGGGCTGGGTTGCAGCAAGGACTGACCATGCCTTTTCCATAACACAAGTTTATTTGGCATTGGATGAAATGGTTCTCACAGCATCTTAAGAAAGGATTAATGCCAACCCGACCAAAAATACACCCAAACTAAAACCTTTAGTGAAAGGAGTATGTAAAAACAGGCATTGAGACAATGTACAGTATCAAATTCCACTTCAAGGCAGGTCAGAGGGCACCCTGCCTCTCAGAAGAGTGGCAAGGCAGTCCTGGGAAAGGGGACTCCCGGCAGCTTGGCCTGTCCCTCTGGGGCCTTGTGGGATGGGCAAGGAAACACAAACCTTAGCAAATCCTGGACCTGCGATTACTCACCTAAGATCTGGAGAGGGTGGCAGACCCCATTACTTGGAACTACAACAACAGTTTGAACAGCCCCAAATACAGGCCACATGTACCCCGAGTGCCTGCTGGACAGTCCCTGGCAGCCTGTCAGGTCCACCTCAGCAGCACCATGGTCCCCTCAGACCACCCTCTTCACCTCTGCCTCCTAGACTCAGGCCCTGGCCAACCCCAACAGTCACTTGGTCCCCAGAGAATTTCAGTCTGTACATATGGCCTTCTGAGGCACTGCTGTGTGGTCCTTAGGAGTCTTGCGGATGGTCTGGCACCAAGGCAATCCCCACTGTTGCTCTGGAGCGTGGCTGCCTGCGCCCAGCACTCAGTACTTGCTGGAGGTATGATGAACTTCCTGCTCCCCTCGTCATGGGTGGAGGAGGAGAAAGCCCTTTGGCAGAGGGACGTCTGCAGCAGCTAGCCCGTGGGCTCAGCTTGAGACAGACTATCTAGGGACAAGTCTCACACCTCCAGTCAGCCCTGGGGATCCGGCCTAAAGATGCTCCCTATGGGAAGGGGAAACAGGTCTCCAAGCAGTGTAGAAATGTGCCTAGAACTGTGCAGGTCTGATCAAGCACCGAGGAGCTGGAGTCTGAGTCACTTCTCCCGCTCATGTTCTTAGCTGGACCACGGCCTAGGAAGCAGCTCAGACCCATCGGTCTAAGAGTAGCCCCAGGGCAAATGGCTCATGTGGGGTAACGGGGCGTCCTGAGCTCCCGTGAACCATCGTCACCTGCAAACATTTGGCCATGTGAGGACACACATAGATACACAAAGATCCTGACATCCAACATAGAAAAGAGACATGTGTGCTAAAAATTGCACAGAACCTTGCTTAATCTCCAAACCTTAGAAATGCTCAAGGCCTGTGTCAGGAGACAAGACCACTGCATGGAGTTGGCCACAGGGTCCCGGGTGCCCAGTGCTGTGGAGCGGCTGGGAGGCATGTGTGTGGCAGCAGATGCTGGGCTCCAGCAGTGGCCACAGGTGACATGGACTCAGAGGACTCAACACAGGATGTCTATTGGAGTCAATTCTCTTCCCAAACCACCAACCCTTTATGGCACAGACAGGGTGAAGGGGCTGGCCAGACCCAAAGGTCGTTCACCAGCAGGCAGAGCACAGGGATCCAGAGTGTGGCAGAGAAAAGCCAGTATGCCCAACCCTCCAAGGGGTCTAGAGTCTACTCCTGGGGGAGCCATGCAGAGCTATGCCATGGAGAGCGCTGCCACGGTGCTGGCCTCAAAGCAAAGCTAGAAATGGGGCGGCAAGTTCAATTCTCTCCCCGGGACTGGCACCTCGATATGTGCATTTGGGCCGGACAGGACGCCCCAGAGAGCCAGTGTGCAGCCGCACATGCCTTCCCCGGAAGCCGCTCCCAGATGCCCTGCTGTCTACACTGGTGTGGCCGGTCACTGGCTGACGACTGGCTTCTGTAGGCGAGTGCAGTAAGCAAGCCCATCCAAAGATGTATCTGGTGTAAGTGCAGCCCACTGCCTCTGCTCTCTTGGAAATGTGTGGTTTGAACACCTGTGCCATTCTGCCATTTACAAATGAGACTGACCCAAAGCTTCTCACGACTGAGAAGCCCTCCGGTAAAGACAGCACAGGCACTTGCTCCTGTCAGGGTGCCTGCTTCAGTTGCTATGTACACACCCGCTGCTGGTGGGATGTGGCAGGGGAGTAGGTCCAGGCTACGACAGGACGCCTGGACGTCTCCCACTGGGATAGGTGTCTTCTGAACAGGAAACAGATACTCCTAGCCCACTGGGGCCATGAGCTGAGCCACCTAAACCACAGTATTGAGGGAGCCACGGGGGTGGCGCCCACCACCTTGTGGTGCTTCTGGAGCTGGGGTGCTCCCGCTCTGGGCAGGATCAGAAGGCACCAGCAGGGCACTGCTACTGTCTGTGGAATCTTCCAGATCTGCTAAGGAGGTCTCTGCAGGAGGCAGCGGATGATCCAAGTGCCTGGGCAATGCACCTTCAATGCCACTGTCCCTTGGGGTTGGCAGGCTGGCCTCCACGGGTTCAAAGGCATCGTCATCTGCAGGAGAACAGAAGGACGTCAGAAATCAGAAAGGTCCTGGTCCGACTGAGGATTCCCTTCCTGACTGCCGGGTGGTAGCTCCTAGCCTAGTGCTCTGGCAGACACAAGTTCATCTTGCCACCACTGTTTGTGGCAGGTGAGATGCAGTGACCAGAGGGAAGCCCGGACTCTGCAGGGACGAACCTCCGGGCTGCAGCAGCACTCTGGAGCTAAGTCAAGGGGCTGAGTGGGGCAGGCTGCCTGGAGAACCATCGCTGTCAGCACAAAGGCGTTCCCTAAATCTACCAGCCTGCTCAGCCCTGCTTTGGGCTGTTTCTGAATGCTGGTGACCAGAGCCTTGGCAGGGGCTGTCTCCATTCCCACCCCCTGCCCAGCAGCCCGGAGGCTGGAGAGTGGAGATCTGCATTTGTCTAGTGCAGTCTTGGCGGAAAGCATCTTGTCTCCACCCTTCTGCAGGGCTGAAGGTCCAATCAAGGCCTCTAGCATGCTAGGCAGATGGTCTACCAACTGAGCTACGGCCCTAGCTCTGACTGTGGCCTGTCTCTGATGACAGTCTCTGAAGGTAGGAATCAAATTCTCCAGCCCTAGACCACAGCAGTGTTAGAGACTCCACTGCAGTGTGCAGGCCGCCCGGCAAACAGGACAGGACTCCGGGCAGGCACGGGGCAGGGATGGAAACGGCACACTGAGCTATGTAGTCTAGGAAGACACCTCAGGGTCAGGTGGGAAACAAGCGACTTTTCAACACCACACCACACCAGGAACTGTTACAGTGGGGTCTTTATGGTTCAGAACAAGCTCCAGAGCTGGGTTAGGACCAGATCTGTCCTTACGATTCCCACTGCTTCTCAGAGATGGACTGAGAGGCCCCGAGGGCTGCCCAGCCACTAGTGGGTGCTCATAGGAGAAGAGAAGGACGCTGCCCGAGGGTCCCTGGAACTCTCAACAACCTGAAGGAGCCAGGACCAAGTGCCTTCTGCAGGGGCAATCTTGAGAACGGCCCTAAAATACAGACTGGGAAGGCAGCCAGAAGGAAGGGAGGTCCCCAGATCCCAGGCCACCCTGTGGTCCGGCCTGGGCATTCCTTATTGCTAGACAACTCCACAGCCCCTCCCTAGGGTGAGCAGGCACCTGCAGGGTCGTAGAACACACTGTCCGGGTTGATGGAAGCCTCATAGGGCGGCGGTGGATCATCCGGCTGGTCCATGTCTGGGTACTTGTAAGCTGTATAAGGAGGTGGAGGGTCGTGGAAATGGAACGTCCCGCCTTCCCCGTCGTCAGAAAGATGCAGCGGGGTGAGGCCTGTGCCAAACCCATCTGGGCCATAGTCAAAGCCAGGGATCCGCCGGCCAAGGTTGAAATGGTGCACTGAGCCATCAAAACAGACAAACAGGAGGGAAGCCATGTGATTTAGAGGTAGGCTGCTGGCTGACCCTGCCACCCAGAGTCACATTCCTGTAACCATCAACCCACTTGCCAGTTACATCCGATAGGTCACATGAGACTCAGATTTGGCCAGAACCTCCCATCCCTGGGTTTCTCCAACCAAGGTGTTCTCACCGTACCTATGTGCAACCTATTCCTACCCTGTCACGTGGCTACAGGAGCAACCCATTGGCATTACTACAGCTCCAGTTCCAGTTCACTTCTGGCTATCTGTCTACTGGAGAAACTGAAATGAGCATGAAGGCAGATTAGGAGGACACTGTTGCCAACTGCTGAAAAATCAGGGTCCCAGGCAGCGAGCTTCAACCCTGCCCTAGGAAGTACTCGGGATCCCCACACAGCAGGTGGGATCCCTTGTAGCTGTTGGCAACTTGCTCCTAAGCCTTGTGTTGTTAAGGAGGGCCCTTGCGGCCAGAAGACGGGCAACTCTGGCAGGACATGACGTCAGTGCCTGCTGCGGCTCCAGACAGCTGAGCCTGCTGCAGGTGGCCCATACTCACGGCGCATCACGAGGAAGTGCTGAATGTCTAGGAATGCTGCTCCTGACCGAGAGCAGAGAGGGCAGAAGGCCTCCTTGAACACCTCCTCAGGTGCCCCGTCTCTCTGGCTCCCCAGACTGTTCAGCCCCAAAGCAAGCAGGCATGCAGCCGCAGAGGGACACCCTTCTCTCCTCCCTTACCAGAGTCTACCCTGGAGGGACACAACTCAGGACAGGGAGACTTGAGGGCGGGGGGGCGGGCACGGGTCACTATTGTGGCCCTTGGAGGGCACTCACAGTTCGCTCCAATCAGGGACTCGATGCGCTCCCGGCGCCGCTGGCGCAGCCGATGGACCATGAAAAGCAGCAGCGAGAGGATGAGGAAGGAGGAGATGCAGCTGACGACCAGGCGCATCCCACTAGCCATGGAGTCAAACAGGCTGCTGCCATCTGTGAGGAGGAGGAGGAGGAGGAAGGCAGCCGCTCTGAGAAGAGGCGCTTACAGGGCTAGGAGTGGGGGCAGAGCACAGGCGGGCATGGTGGGCATGGC